GGCAAGCCTCCTTACCAGGCCACCAGGAAAACGAACAAGGGCACCCAGCCTGCTCTCCTGGGCTTTTAAGCTGCATTTGTCCTGAGAATGTTGCAAAGATAGTGGATCACTTAAGCTATATATGGTTCTGTTTATTTTTAACTTCTTTTGAAACAGTTTTAGATCGACAGGAAGTTGTAAGGCTGGTACAGTGAGATTCTGTGTACTCTTCAGCAGCTTCCTCCAATGGTTACAACTTAAATATAGCACAATATCAAAACCAGGAAATTGGTATTGGTGTACTATATGGGTATGATAGTTCTATGACATTTTATCACGTGTGTAGATTTGTGTAACCATCACCTCAGTTAAGAGAATAGATCTGCTCTATCATCACAAAGTCCACTCTGGTGCTGTTTTTTTAATAGAATAGTTACCTGCCCTTCACCCTCACCCCTAACCAGATGGCCACTAAGCTGTTCTCAGTCTCTATAATTTTGTATATTATATGTATGGAGTCACACAATATGTAGCCGTTTCAGACTGGTTTGTTTCAGGCAGCATGATACCCTCAAGAGCCACCCACATTGTTGCTGTGTATCAATAGTTCACTTTACTTCTGGGTATTCAGTGATATTGGATATATCACATTAAAAAAAAAAACACCATTCACCTATTACATTTATCTATAAAAACATTTTGTTGTTTCTAGTTCTTGGCCACACCGCCAGGGTGGCTGTACCATTTTACATGCCCACCAACAATGTATGAGAGAGCCAGTTTCTCCGTATCCTTGCCAGCAGAGAATAATTTTTTGGTAACAGCTTTATTGCAATATAATTCACATCCTATAATTCACCCATTTAAAGTGCACAAATCAGTGGTTATTAGTATAGACACTGAGTTGTGCACCATCACCACAACAGATTTAGAACATTTTTATCATCCCCAAAAGAAACCCCATACCCAGTAGCCACCATGCCTTAAGCCCCTATCCCTTCTGCCTGGAAACCACTGATCTACTTTCTGTGTTTTTAAAAACGAATACAACATTTCTAGAAAATGTCTGGACTAGGCAAGTCTATAAAACAGAGCTGCTATGGAGAGCTTTTGCCAGACCTGCTTGATGGTCTAGCTTGCAATTAACCTAACTACAAATTAATGCTATTTTTAATATTTAGAAGTTCCCTATAAAGTATTATGTATGCTTTTTGTTTATTTAGCACCAGTTATGAATAGTGGGATCTGAGTAGTTCTCCTGAAATCCTATTGGGATCTTTCTAGAGAAGCTGGGCATGGGGTGGTGAATGCCAGTGATTCAGGCCAGGGACAGGTCAGCAGACCACAGGCAGTGTTCAGGAGCTGGAATAGATCTGTGCAGCAGACAGATGTGTTCCCGGACCTTTCTAGGCCCTTTGCCTTCTGAACAACCTCGCTGTCCCCAAACACTCACTTTACATATTTTCTGATCCATGGGTCAGTGTTTATGGCACAGGACAGAAACTTCTGCTACTAATGCATCCAAAAAGACCATTTATGTATGCAAATATGTAGTATCACGAGGCACAGAGGAGGACACAAGATGAATTGGTGCTCATCTTGTCTCTCAGAGCTTAGTGTCTAGCCAGGAAGATGAGGCGTAGCCTTAAATAACCCAAGTACAAGGCTGAATGGGATGCATGCCACTTTAAATATTAGGGAATATTTTAACTATCAGGAAAAGAACAAAGAACAATAAACAAATGCCTATGGTCTCCCCACCTAGTTTTGTTTAATTTTAACATTTTTGCCATATTTACTTTAGTTTTTAAAAAACTAATAAAACATCTTAGATGCTCAGCAATAAAAAGGAACTATTGATACACCCAACAACTGATTTAATAAAGTCAGTCCCAAAGGCTCCATACTGTGTGGTTCATATATACATACTGTATGATTACGTACATTCTTGAAATGCAGAAATGAAGAATAGATTCCTGATTGCCAGGGGTAAAGGGTGGCGTGGGGCTGGAGCCAAGGGTGAAAGGCAACATTAAAGATCTTTGTGATGGAACTGTACTGTATTTTGACCATCAATGTCAATCTTCTGGTTGTGATATTGTCTTTTTAAAATAGTGTGTTATTTTTCAAGTACAATTGACATATAATATTATATTAGCTTCATGTATACAATAGTGATTAGACATTTATATACCTTCTGAAGTGATCACTCTGATAAGTCTAATACCCATCTGACTCCATACCCAAGTACAAGGCTGAATGGGATGCATGCCACTTTAAATATTAGGGAATATTTTAACTATCAAGAAAAGAACAAAGAACAATAAACAAATGCCTATGGTCTTCCCACCTAGCTTTGTTTACTTTTAACATTTTTGCCATATTTACTTTAGTTTTAAAAAAACAAATAAAACATCTTAGATGCTCAGCCATAAAAAAGAACTATTGATACACCCAACAACTTACATGAATCTCCAGGGAATTGTGCTGATTTAATAAAGTCAGTCCCAAAGGCTCCATACTGAGTGGTTCATATATACGTACTGTATGATTATGTACATTCTTGAAATGCAGAAATGGAGAGCAGATTCCTGATTGCCAGGGGTGAAGGGTGGCGTGGGGCTGGAGCCAAGGGTGAAAGGCAACATTAAGGATCTTTGTGATGGAACTGTACTATATTTTGACCATCAATGTCAATCTTCTGGTTGTGATATTGTTTTTTTTAAATAGTGTGTTATTTTTCAAGTACAATTGACATATTATATTAGCTTCATGTATACAATAGTGATTAGACATTTATATACCTTCTGAAGTGATCACTCTGATAAGTCTAATACCCATCTGACTCCATACATAGTTAGGACGATATTATTGACTATATCCTATAGCTGTACTTTACACCCCTGTGACTGTTTTCATAACTGGCAATTTGCATAGCTTAATCTCTTATTTTCAGCCAGATCTCTAGCCCCCTTCCCATCTGGCAACTTTCAAAATGTCCTCTGTGTCTTTGTCTGTTTATTTATGCATTTATTTTCTACATAAAAATGAAATCATATGGCATTTGTCTTTTTCTGTCTGATTTCTTCCACTTAACATAATACCCTCTAGTCTAGATCCATTCATGTTGTCGCAAATGGCGAGATTTCATTCTTTTCTATGGCTGAGTAATATTTTATTGTGTGTATGTACCACATCTATCAATGGACACTTGGGTGGCTTCCATATCTTGGCTATTGTAAATAATGCTGCAATGCACATAGGGATGCATATGTCTTTTCAAATCAGTGTTTTGGGTTTCTTCAGATAAATACCCAGAAGTAGAAATGCTGGGTCCTTCTTTGTCTCTTGTTATATAGCCTTTGTTTTAAAGTCTATTTTGTCTGATACAGGTATTGCTACCCCTGACAGTGTGTGCATTTTCAACTTTTATGGATAGTCCAATTTGCTCTTTAGAGTAGTTATAATAATTTACACTATCACCTCAGTACATGAGACTTCTCACCACTGTCAGGCCAAGGAGTTCCACTCCTAGATATAGCTTGCCTTCAAGAAACTTCTCCAGAGTTAAACAATCTTTGTTTTAAAGTCTATTTTGTCCAATACAGGTATTGCTACCCCTGACAGTGTGTGCATTTTATGGATAGTGCCAATTTGCTCTTTAGAGTAGTGTAACAATTTACACTATCATCTCAGTATATGAGACTTCTCACCACTGTCAGGCCAAGGAGTTCTACTCCTATATAATAGCTTGCCTTCAAGAAACTTCTCCAGAGTTAAACAAAGAAGATACAAGAAATGGTAGCAATGTTGATAATGACAGAAAATTAGAAACAACTTTAATGTCCCCAGGGGAGTGGATAAATAACTTGTGGTATAGCCATGTAATGGAATTCTGAACAATAGTGAAAATGAATTCATGAATACTGTATTCATGTATCAACATGGATATACTCATAAACATTGCAAAGAGAGAAAAAACAAAAACCAAGTCCCAGAGGGGTACATAGAGTATGATACTATTTTTTGAAGTTTTAAATATGCAAAACAATGCTACTTATTGTTTAGTGATATATATGTGCAGCACAGGCATTAATTTTTTTGTAAAAATTCAGGATAGTAGTAACTTCTGGAAAAAGTGACAGAGGAATGGGATTAGGGAGAGTATCAAAGGGGATTTAGTGGTATCTGAGGCTTTTTAAAATTTTAATTTGGGGATACTTATAGACACATATGTTGATGCAAGAAATAATACAGAGGTTCCATGTACCCTTCAACCAATTTTTCCATCTACAGTCTCACCAACATTTTATTTTTATATTTTGCCAATCTGATGGGAGTGAAATAGTATCTTGTTGTGGTTTTAATTATTTATATTTGTCTAGTTATTAGTGAATTGAGTATATTTTCAGCTGTGTATTAGCCATTTAAATTTTTTCTTTTGTGTATTACCTGTTCTTACCTGTATTAATCAGGGTTTAGTTGGAGAGAACACAAACCATTCTATTTTTAACCAGAAAGGGGTTTACCGGAGGGCATTATGTGTTTACCAAATTAGTGAGGAGCTGGAGGAGCAGGCCACAGAGTGGGCCTCTAGGAGTGAATCCCAGAGCAATATTACAGGAAGGGCCTGTGTGGGTGGGGGGATGGTTGTTGTTTGTTTTTTCAGATCCACCATTTCACCGGAGTCCTTGGGGACTCCAGTTCTGTGAAGGAGACTCTCTCCTGATCCTGCCTGGGCACCGCTGCCCGAGTCCCCGGTTCACTGAGCTCGGCAATGCCCTCTGCCCTGCCCACTCCAGCCGCTGGGACAGCTGCACAGCTCAGCTCTCCTGCTCTGGTTTTCAGTTCCCTCTGTTTGGGGGCCCTGCTGATTTCCTTTACTCTCTTAAGCCCTGCCATACAGTGATAAGGGAGCTTGTTATAGCTGGTCTAGCATTTTGATATTTTGTGGTAGGGAGGATTTTCAGGCCATCTTGTCGATTGCCATTTGTATTTTTTAAATTTTGAGATAAAGAAGGTACATCTGGCTGGGAAGATCAGGAAAGGCCTCAGAGAAGATGAGTGTTGGAGGATAGAGACAGAGGAGGGCGCCCAGCAGGTGCAAAAGCAGAGGCCAGAAGTGACCATGCAGGTATGGAGAAATGCATGTAACTTTTCGCTGGAGTGGTCCATGAAGGGGAAAATGAGGTTGGAGCAGGACCCTGAGCCACAGGGGGCATCTCACAGCAGGGACTACTGTAGTCACAAGCTTGCTTTCAGGAAATTTAAACTGGAACCATGTCCAGGATGAATGGGTGTGGGTGGCAGCAGGTGGGAGAGGGGTTTGGATTTAGGAAGTTGATCTTGGAGGCTGTGGAAATAGCTCAGATGACATGTAGTATGGCCTGAAAGGGGAAGACCGGGGTCAGAGAGAAGAGGGAACCACTGGGGGTATAGGTGGAGGAGAGAGAGAGAGAGAGAGAGACTGAGAGAGAGAGACTGACTCAGCTGAACCAGATACAGAAATCTGGGTCAAGAGCTGGGGCAAAAATAGAAGAAAAGCCAGACAAGCACATTGTCCTGGGCTATGAATTTAAAATGTCAACAATTTCCTGAGTTGTGTTCTACCTTTTAAGGTTGCTCAGATCCCACCCACAAATGCTAATACACGGTTCATCTTGACTCTGTATGCAGCTAAAGATGTTTTCTGGCTGCTGGGTGAATAGTTACCTTTGGATTAGAGACAGCATGTCCCAGTAGAGCTCTTGGCAATGAGTTGGCGTGTGCTTGTCTTCCCCAGAACCTGCTGGCATGGCCGATCGTGGGGCCGATGAGCCATCCTCCAGGACCAAGAGTCCGGATGGAGAAAGTCAGGTCTCTGAGGACAGGTGGTCGCTCCATCAGAGGCTGGCCATCAGGGAGCTCATTGACACCGAGGTCTCCTACTTGCACATGCTCCGGCTCTGCGCCTTGGACATCAGGAGCCGCCTGAAGCAGGTACCTGGGCGGAGCCACACACAGCCTGTCTTTCTAGGGGCAAAATGGGTCCTAGGTTCTCACATTGGCTCCTGGAACAGGCTTGATGGACGGAAAGTCATGGTGGATGTGAAGTCACCTGGATGTAAGCCCTGTACTTCCACTTATTGGCCATGTAACCTTCAGCCTGGAGCCTTAGTGTGTTCATCTGCTGAATGGGGCGAGGGGTAATCACCTCAGGAATTAAGTGAGCTGATGGATAAAATAGCCCTTTGTCAAGCTTAGAGCAGATCACTTAAACTGACCTACATTCTCATTGTCTCATTTGGGGGATGGTGGGAGGGAGAGGTTATTACTATGATAGCTTTCTATTTTAGTACTCATTTTTATGTCTTTTTTCTCCCTGATTGCAGAAATGATACAAGCTTTCTCTATAAAACTTCAAGAATTCCCTAACATGTAAGCTCCTTGAGAACAAAGACCATTTAGTTCAATATATCCCAGTTCTTTTTTAAAAATATTTTTATTGATTTCAGAGAAGGAAGGGAAAGGGAGAGATAGAAACATCAATGATGAGAGAGAATCATTGATTGGCTGCCTCCTGCACCCCCCTACTGGGGATAGAGCCCGCAATGAGGCATGTGCCCTTGACCAGAATCGAATCTGGGATCCTTCAGTCCGTAGGCCAACGCTCTATCCACTGAGCCAAACCAACTAGTGCAATATATCCCAGTTCTTGACATATATATAATGGGCTACAATTAGTGTTTCTTAAATGAATGAAATACTAAAGTAGGTAATGTAGAAGGTGAAAATTCTCTCATATTTTACTCTCCAGAAATTAAGATTTTTTTCTGTAGGCATTAAACAGAGAAGAATAGATTGTTACTTATTTTAACAAAAATAAGAACATACTCTAGGTATTTTTCTATAGTTCGTTTTTCCCACTTGGTCATGCATCCAGGGCATCTCATCTCTTTCTACATATCTATCTCCTGTGTATGTCCCTGCACATAAATACAGGATATCCCCCCAAAATGTACACACACTTTAATAGCTGAGAGCTCAACTTTTAAAATGAAATGTATTTTAATAAACACTGCCTTTATAATTATTCAAAGTGTGTATACACATTGTTGGGACACCCTATAGATATCCAGCATCCTTTTTTAAAAATTCTCACCTAAGGATATTTTTTCCACTGATTTTCAGAGAGTGGAAGGAGAGAGGAGGGGGAGAGAGAGAAACATCGATGTGAGAGAGAGACAGACATCGATTGGTTGCCTCTCTGCAGTTGCCTCCACTGGGAATTGAATCTGAGACCGTTTGGTCCGAGAGTCGATGCTCCAACTATTGAGCCAATTTGGCCAGGGCCCCGCATCCTTTTTAACGGTGGTATAGCCTAGTTAATAGGGCTGGAGTTCAGAATACATCTCAAGGTCACGATGGAAGGTGTCATGTATATCAGAGCTGGAAAGAAATCCAACTTTCCACCCTTTTATGACAGATGGGGAAACTGGGGGAAGAAAAATGATAGTTGGCAGCAGACTTAGGGTAAAACCCCAGCTTAGCTTTCCATTGTAGAATAATGGAAATAACCTAATTTATAAAATTTCAAAGTCCTTGCAAACATTCCACTAGGGCAATCTTCCCAAGAGTGATGGGCTCCCGGGGGCGTGAGTGTTCTGGACTGTTCCCCAAAGTCTACAAATCAAGTCACGCCACTGACCTCCCAGCAACCTCCCACGGCTTCTTTGTTCCTCCCAGCTGCCACAGGGAGATCTGGATGTCTTGTTCTCAAACATCGATGACATCATCAAGGTGAACAGCAGATTTCTTCAGGATCTGCAGGGGACAGACGCCATGGAAGAGAAACAAGTGCAGCTAATTGGTAAGCAAAAGACAGGGCAGCTGTCAGCCTTAGATTCCTGTGGAGTTGTCCTCAGCGTGGGGTCATTACTGAACTGTGTCCAGAGTTCCAGGGAAATGCAGCTCAATGGGAGTCTGGGTTTGGGACCCTTGGAACCTAGCATGTCAGAGCTGGCAGGACCCTCCAATAATATCTAGTCCAACCCACCACTTTACAAAATGGAGAGTACAAGTACTTAACATGTAGTAGCCCTTTTCATTCTCATGACACCATTACTTATTGATGATTATTATCCCTATTTTACTAAAGAAAAACCCAAGGCTCGAAGAGGTTAAGTAACTTTCCCGGGGCCACACAGCTTGACCAGGGAGAGTGAGGATTTGAACCCAGCTCTTTTGGACTCTAGAACCCTAGCTCTTGACCATCCTGCCTCCCTTACTCTTCTTTTTCACTAATCCCAGCTACAGGTCGAGTACCCTTTGACACTGGGAGTAACTTCTTTGTTGCTGTTACTCCTTTACAATCTGTAACTGGAGAAAGACAAGAGGAGAGGAAATAAGTCTTTACTTTGGTGTCCTGGGCATTCCTGCTACTTTGGACAGTCCTGCTCTCTGAGAGTTTGTCTTCCTCTGCCCCTCAGTTACTGGCATGCCCCTGTCCCTGGCCATGCTGATAGGATACCGTTCCTTTGGCATCAGTCACATTCCTGTGGAAGCATCCACGTTGGGGAGAATGTGGGAGCTCCCTAGGTCTCATGGCTACACCCAAGTTGTCTCTTAGTGGAGATCTCTGGTGAAAAGGCTTCCTGGGAGCCTTCCCTAGATAGATCTCCCACCACTCTCCAAGGCTTTTCCTGGCTTTGTCTTGATTCATGGCACTCATCACTACCTGGCATATGTACGATATTTACTTATTGGCTGTCTTCTTCTAGAACAGCGGTTCTCAACCTGTGGGTCACGACCCCTTTGGGGGTCGAACGACCCTTTCACAGGGGTCGCCTAAGACCATCGGAAAACACATATATAATTACATATTGTTTTTGTGATTAATCACTATGCTTTAATTATGTTCAATTTGTAACAATGAAAATACATCCTGCATATCAGATATTTACATTCTGTCTTCTTCTAGAACAGCGGTTCTCAACCTATGGATCACGACCCCTTTGGGGGTCGAACGACCCTTTCACAGGGGTCGCCTAAGACCATCGGAAAACACATATATAATTACATATTGTTTTTGTGATTAATCACTATGCTTTAATTATGTTCAATTTGTAACAATGAAAATACATCCTGCATATCAGATATTTACATTACAATTCATAACAGTAGCAAAATTACAGTTATGAAGTAGCAACGAAAGTAATTTTATGGTTGGGGGTCACCACAACATGAGGAACTGTATTAAAGGGTCGTGGCATTAGGAAGGTTGAGAACCACTGATCTAGAATATAAGCCCCATGAGGCAGGGGTTTTGTTTCATTCACAGAGCTTAGAATAGTTCTGGGCATATAGTCAATAAATAAGCAGTTGGTAAATATTTGGTGAATGAAATTTGTGTAAAATGCTTTACATGCATTATTTCATTTAATCCTCATTTAAAAAAAACACTTGGAGTTGAGTACTATTTTTAAATTTAAAAAAATTCATTGATTTTAGAGAGAGGGTGTGTGTGGGGAGAGAAAGAAAGGGAGAGAGTGAGAGCGAGTGAGAGCGAGAGCGAGAGAGAGAGAAAGAGAAAATGAGAGAGAGAGGGAGAGAGAGAAACAGTGATTTTCCACTCCACTTATTCATGCATTCATTGGTTGATTCCTACATGTGCCCTGACCGGGGATGGAACCCACAACCTTGGCGTATTAGGACGAGCTCTAACCAACTGAGTTACCCAGACAGGGCATGAGTACTATTTCTATTCCAATCTATAGATGGGAAAATGGAGGCTTGCCCCAGTTTGCACAACTGGAAAGGGTTGACTGGAAATCTGGCCCTAGTTCTCCCTGAGCCTGAAACCCATCCATGCCTGTCACTTCCTGGGCTGTGCTATAGCATGTTTGTGCTGCATAGCATGCTTACTGGGTTAGTGGTTGTACTTGGCACACACAGTCACTGTAAAGACATAACATGAACACATTTTGTCAACTGTAAAGCACTGTACAAATATGAGCCTTATCAATACTATTGCTCTAATTATAGCTATCATTTATTAAGTACTCATAGTGCATTAGCCTGAGCTCTACATCATTCTGTCACCCAGTCCTTCTGGCAAAATGATGGGAGTAAAATGAAACAAATGGAAACTCAGGAAGATGAGGTAACTTGCCCAAGGCGAGAAAGTGGATTAAGCTGGCAGTTGTCTTCCTCACTACCTCCCTGTCCCAAGCAAGGGGCCATACAGACATGCCTTTGTGAACTCCTTGTTGCTTTTCCACTGTCAGGTAACTTATTCCTGGAATTCCAAGAGGAATTGGAGCGAGTCTATAAGGTCTACTGTGCCAACTATGACCAGGCCTTGCTGCTGGTGGAGTCGTACCGAAGGGAGCCAGAGCTGCAGCGGGAGATCCAGGCCATCATTGAGGCAGTGGTGTGAGTAGAATGACCAGTGAGAATTTGCTCCTGGTGCATGGACCCCAAGGTCAGGGACCGTTGAGGTCTCACCTCCATTTGGTGCTGCTCACACAGCTTCAGGAGTGTTGCAGCAAGGGCTATGCTAGGCGATGCTACAGAAACAAACAACTCCCAATTCTCAGTGGCTTCAGACCACAAAGGTTTATACCTTCCTTTTCATCCTTGCAGGGTGACTTGGGGCTCTTTGCACTATCCTCACTCTGGGATCCAAGCTGACAGTAGCCAATGGTCAGAATTTTGTCACTAATTGTGGCAAGATATCCATCACTTCTCATAATTCATGGGCCAGAACTATTCCCATGGCTTCATCCAACTACCAGGAGGCCAGGATGTGCTATCCTGCACACGTGTCTAGGAGTGGAGAAGCAGAGACATTTGGTAAACAGCTTTGATGACTAGCATAGGAAGGGCAGTGAGGTTGGGGGAACCACATGCTGTCAGCAACAGTGTTAGGAGGCAGGTGTGTAACACCTGGGGAGGCCTCTCTTCAGACGGCTGAAGTTCTGCCCCATGGAAAAGGCTCAGAACTGTCCCGGGTGGCATCACAGCCAGAGCTGGCACCAGTGGGTGGAAGCTCCAGGTAGAGATATGTAGAGAACACATTTTTAAATTGAAATTTTGAATGGGTAACATAGTTACATGGTTCAAAAATCTTTAAAACATCCAATTTTATACAGTAAAAATGATCTTCCCAACCTTGCTCCTTTATTTGCTCAATTACAACTCCAATCCCCAAGGTTAAGGTAACCACTTAAAAATTCTAATGGATCTTTGCATAATTCCTTTATGCATATATAAGCAAATGCATAGAGTTCTTTTCCAGGGCAGGTTTATGGTTTATTTAACCATTGTCCTGTTGGTAGATATTTGGGTTGTTACCAAATTTTCACTGTCATAAATGTAGTTGCTGAATAACTTCTACCTTGCTCACCTGAGTTGATATTTATGTGGGTAGATTACTAGAGTAGGACTGATGGAACAAAGGGTTTGTACATTTCACATACTGCCAAACTGCTATCCAAAGAGATATCACCAATTGATACTCCCACCAAGAGAGTCTGTTTCCTCCCATTCCCCTAGTTCTGGGTATTATCTTGTCATTTTTGTTGCCTATCTGAAAGGCTGCATACAAATTTTTCTTCCAATTACCTTAGAAAGGCCGTACAGGTAAGAGACTGCTGTTACTCTGCAGTGACGGGGTTACTTGATAATTGCGGAGAAGAGATCTGATCTTCTCTTTGAAGACCCCCTGCCGTCTGATTCGTGAGGTGACAGTTGTCCCCATGAGCAGTTGGCCCTTGCCTGTGGAAAGTAAGCCCAGAGGACAGATTTTGCCAAAATCTGGCAATTGCTTCCACCTCCCTTGCCCATGGCCAGCCAAGCAGTAGGAAACCTTTGGTGAGAGCAGATGGTCGGCGTAGGTGTGTCCTGAAGGTTTGATCCTAGCCCTGCCTGCCCACTCCCTGCAGGGGGTGGAGGGGTTCTCACCTGCTCTGCCTATTTTTAGCCTCATGGCTGATCTTTCCTGGCCATTTAGTCTGGAGCTTTTTCCTAAGGAAAAAGAGCAAGAGGCTAGGATCTCATAGAGAGGGGGGCCGGCGAGTGGTCATGAGCAGCACTTGTGAGTCTTCATGGAGGAGGCGTGCTTGAACGTTGAAGTTTGGAACCCTCTTGGGTTTCTCAAAAGCCAGGGCTGAGGGCTACGGGTCATGGTCAAGGAAGGACTGTTGGAGATAACCTAGATGTCCCAGTCATGAACCAGGGCTCTAGAAGGGACCTTGACACTATTAGTTCCTGTGCTTTATTTTTTACTTTTTTTGATGACAAATGTCAAACATATAGAAAGATAGAAGAATGGAATGAACACTCACACGCCCACTACCTGAAATGAATCATGTTAATCTTTTTGCTTCATCTATATTTATGCTAAACGATTTAAAGGAAGATACAGATGTTATGACTTTTTTCCTTACATACTAAATACTTCAAATGCATCTCTAAACATTAAGCTCCCATAATTTTAAAAGCTTTTCTGTTGTGAAGTAGCAGAACCATTTTATTAACTGAAATATCGTGTGGATGCCCAATATAGAGAGTTGTGCTTGGGACATATCCAAGTGAGATATTAAATAGGCCATGGGCGCCTGGAACTCCGGACAGAAGTAGAAAATGAAGATCTGCGTTTTGGATGTGTTTAAAGCCATAGGACTAAATGAAGTCAGTAAGAGAGTGGGTGAAGAGGAAGGAGAGGAGGCCCCAGAGCACCCAGCATTGGAGAGAGGCCAGCAGAATCGGCCAAGAGAGCGGTCTGTGGAGTAGGAGACAGACAGAGGGAGTCTCTGAGGCCAAATAAAGAGAAGTGTTTCGGTAAAGAGGGAGCGGTCTTCCGTGTTTGCTGTTGGGTGAATGAATAAGCTGAGGGCATAAAACTGATCACTGGGTTTGGTACAAATGGGGAACCAAGGTCCATAAAGGGGGTAAAATGAGAACTAGCAGCATCCATCTAACTTCTAGACCTCACACATTACAGATGAGGTAACTGAGAGCCACAGAAGGAGGTGACTTGCCTGAGATCACTCAGTGAGTTCAATGACAGGCCCCCTGATGCCCCCAAGGGTGGCCTTTTCCTACCTAATACCAGCCTTCTCCCTCAGGCCACAAGCTGGACCCTCGGGCCTCAGTTTCTTACTGGTCATCCCTCTGCAGAGGATTACCAAGTACCCACTGCTGCTGCAGAAAATTCTGGAGAACACACTTCCCGATGCCAGTGCCTATTCTGTCCTCCAGAGGGCTACCTCTGCCCTCCAGGACGTGAACACCAACATCAATGAGTACAAGAGGCGCAAGGAAGTGGGTAAGGACTTGGGTAATTTAGAGGATACATCAGTGAGCATACTTCCAGTTATAAAAAGCTCATATCAGATTGGCTTCACCAATGAAGGGGAGGTAGTAGCTCATGTAACCACAAGTCCAGAGGTAGGTGGCCTTTGGGTAGGGTTTGATCAGGTTGCTGGGTCAGTTTCCCTATAATTCTCTTGTCTCTGTTCTTTACTGTGTGTCACCTTCATGTTCAGATAGCCTCCCTCATAGTACTACATGGCTATTGCTATTCCAAGATACACATCTGCATACCACACCCCCCAAGATAAGACAGGGCCTTTTTCCTCTTAGCCATCAAAATTAAACTGGAGCTTCACTCTTATAGGACCCACTTGGGTCATGTGCTCACCCTGAACCAATCACTATGGTTAGGGGAATGCCATGAGCTGATCGGCTTAGTTCTTTGAACCAATCACTGTCACGAGGGGGATGAGATTATATGGATTGGTTTATAGCACTTAGCACCCACCCCTTGAACTAAAGTGGGAGCAGTTCCATCCAAACCACATGGCTGCTATACTGTGGAGGAGAAATGATGGCTGGGGGAGTGGGGGGCAGTGAGGAGGGCAGGGAGGCAAAGGGCTGTGTATATACCTCGGCAGGGAAGGGGGATAAGTGGGGATCCTGCCTCTCAGATTGTTAAAGCAGAAAGGTTTGGGGGGAAAAATAAAGCAATGTCCCAAGGAGAGAGAAACTCATTTGCACAACCGAGACAGTATAATAACGATAATTTAGCTAATGTTTATTGCTAAGAGCTAACTAGGACATGTTTTTCATTTACTATCTTGTTTGATCCTCTGAGGCTGGCACTGCTAGTCCTATTTCACAGTTGGGTAAACTGGAAGCGTTAGTCATTTGCTCCAGGTCACAGAGCTGATAAGGGACAGAGCCAGGTTTAAAACTCAGGCTTGGGGTCAGGCAATCAGTAGGAAGTTCTGAGCCCAGTTTGGCCCGGCTAACAGTGACTGAGGGACCTCAGGCAAATCACCTCTCACTTGGGTTCTTTAGAAAGTAGATCTGGACCTATCATCTTAGGTGATCCTCCCAGCAGTCCCACGAGCTGGCTGGCCTCATTTACAGATGAGGAAACTGCGACCTGAGGGGCGACTTATCCAAGTCAAGCAGGCTGTTCAGCCGGGGCTCACACCTCGGAGTGAGGGCTCAGCCCTGTGCCTGTGCTCCCTGACTCACCACCTCTCTCATGGGGGTGACCCTGACGTTGAGAAGAGGGCCCGGTCAGGTGCCTAGCCAGCTGTGCTGGATGCTGGCTCTCCTGGGTCAGCTTCTGTCTCCACGCCCTCCCTCTCTGTCGGTGCAGCTTCCAAGTACACCAAAGTGGAGCAGCTCACCCTCCGGGAGCGGCTGGCCCGCATCAACACGCACACCCTCTCCAAGAAGACCACCCGGCTGAGCCAGCTGCTGAAGCAGGAGGCGGGGCTCGTGTTGAGGGTGAGCATGGGCAGGGGGAAGGGTCACATCTCAAGGGACAAGCAAGACTGTGCAGGGGTGGGCCAGGGTGCTTAGACTGCCTTCGGAGATGAGGCTCAGGGAGGGAAGTGGTTCCCAGCAGTGATAGCGGGCACAGGCGGAGTTGGCATCCCACTTGATTCTGTGGAGCCTGGGGAGGGCTTTCTCCGCGGCACCTTGTACCACTTTCTCTCTGGGACCTCTTTACACAGATAGCAGAGCTAATCTCTGGGTCTGGGCATGGACCCAGCTTTGATTGATGGCTACCAATAGCAGCTCAGGCTGATTAAGTACTTACTGTGAACCAGGCACTACTTGGTCCACACAATGAAGTTGGTGTTCCTATTCCCCTCCCCCACCCCGCCCCCATTTTGCAGATGAGAGGCTCAGAGAGGGTCAAACACTTGCCCAAGGTCACACAGCTTGGAAGCAGGGGAACCAGGACTCATATGCTTGTGTATTTGATTCTGTGGTCTGAATACAAAACCACTAAGTTGCACTCCCTGCCTCTAACTGTCCCACTCAGCTTTGGGGCAGATCTGAGGAAAGGTGGTCCCCAATGAAGACTTGGGGATGCAGGTATATGGTGCACACTGCCCCCTTGTGGATTTTCATGGCTCTCACAAGAATAACTTGACTCTCAGACAGAAGACAAGGAATTTGATGACTTAGAAGAGAGGTTCCACTGGGTGTCGCTGTGTGTGACTGAGCTGAAGAACAATGTGGCAGCTTACCTGGACAATCTGGAGGTGAGGATCCTGTGGTTAATAGTGGGTGGGGCTGGGTTGGGCTCCCTGGGCAGAAGGCGTGCAGGGCCCATCCAACAAGCTGGCAAAAATACCAGCTGCAGGAACCAAACGGAAGAGGTCTTCCCTGGCTGCAGGCCAGAAGAGGGCCCCGGGGCAGGCACTCCTCGGCCGACAGGCCACAGGACATGGGCAGCTTCTGAGCCCATTGAGCTCTCGGGTTGGGGTTCCAACTGGGCAGGATAAAAATTCACTGGGGTCAGAACCCTCAGAAGAACCCTGTCAGACTGGCACCCAGAGCAGGGGTGACAAACTTGGGTGCTTAAAGGGCCAAGTAGGTAACATTACTGAGTGAAGTGTCCATGTATACAAAGCCTAATGTCTGTTTATGAGACCTTTTGGGTAATTAAATCAACATATAATAATATTTGGAATTTGAATGACTTGAATGAATGAATGAATGAATGAATAAAATCTAAAGGGGCAGTTATTACTTGAATCAGGGGAGTGGTTGCTGTGGGCCCTGGTCAGCCAGTTCTGATTTTAAGGAAAAAAAAGAAAACTGGAAATTCAGACTTTTAGGTGAAATCTCACAACATGCCCATGGGAACAGCTAATGAAATGAAAATTTAAGTGTTATTCAGGACCAAGGAAATATATTTCTATAAACTGAATTCAGCCTACAGGAACAGCAGCTTGCATTCCCATCCAGCATGTTATTTTCCTTGTGCCAAAATCCCTGCTCATTCTTGTCATCGATGCTGACTCATTCCATCTACTGTGTCCCTCTTACGTGGCTTTGTTCTCAGGCATGTCCATTTGCGCAAACCCAGCTTTGGTCACACGATAATGGGCTATTTGGATAATGGGACTTGGGGTGGCATTACCGGAAGTACGTACAAGGAGCAGGGTGGTCGTTTCAGACTCCTCTGTAGACACATCTCCCTGCTTGTTCCTGCTTCATCCTGGCCCCCCAGTGGAAGGATCTGAGCAGCACAGGGAGAAGGAAGGGAAAACACTCCGGCTGTGAGGGAAGAAGCCAGAGGCACAGGAGAGACACTCTGGCTTTGTCGAGGAGGGTGATGTTTGGAGGCTTTCGGGCTGCATTTTCCTAGAGGCAGGACTTACGGGACAGATCCAGGGTTACATGGAATCCCACAGGGACAGAGTGGTTCCCTCTGTTCATCCTGAGTCCAGGAAAAGCCTCTTTGGCTGGCAGGCTGCTAACATGGCAGAGGCAGTCTTGTGCTGGGAGCCTTCAGCAGGCAATGACATCCAGGCAGAACTTCATAATTTTGTTTTCACAGCAATTATTCTTCCATGACTATTTATGGCAGTTATTACTGGCTTTCCCTTTATGGTAGTGTCATAAGATATTTGTTTTTTTAAATGCATTGTTTTAAGTAGGAATGCTTAGTTGATTTAAAGAAAAGTGTTAATAGAACACGTGGAATATAGACATGGCAAAAAACTCCTAAGGGAGGAATGCAGATATGTGAATTTGGGAAGCGCTGGAATAGGGAGAAAGATGTCGATTTAGTATCTCTATTTTTTTAAAATATATTTTTATTGATTTCAGGGAGGAAGGGAGAAGGAAAGTGAGATAGGAACATCAATGATGAGAGAGAATCATTGATCGGCTGCCTCTTGCATGCCCCCTACTGGGGATCGATCCTGCAACTTGGACATGTGCCCTGACTGGTAATTGAACTGTGACCTCCTGGTTCATAGGTCGACGCTCAACCACTGAGCCACGAGAGCTGGGCTCAGCTTAGACAGTGGTTGGCAAACTGCGGCTCGGCAAACCGCGGCTCACGAGCCACATGCGACTCTTTGGCCCTTGAGTGTGACTCTTCCACAAAATACTGGCTCTTCCACAAAATACCGACTTCTGCGCATGAGCCACGAAGTTTCAATTACACTGTACGTGTGCGCCCGCACGTGGTATTTTGTGGAAGAGCCATACTCAAGGGGCCAAAGAGCCCCATGTGGCTCGCGAGCCACGGTTTGCCGACCACGGGTGGAGGAACTGTCTAATCAACCAAGGTGTCCAAGGACAGAATAGGATGTGCTTCCCTGTCACAGGGGATGTGCAGGCGGCCTGGACAGCCTCTTCAGGGGTCTGCTGCAGGGGATGCTGGTGTGAGATGTCCATGACGGGCCATGATTTTCTGTCTCTCATTTGTCCTGGCCCAGGCTTTCCTCCGCTTCCGGCCGCAGCAATATGACCTGGACATGCCCGCGGGGCCTGTGGGGCAGTACTGCAGCCTGGCAAGAGACCTTCAGCTCCAGGCCTTCCCTGAGTTTGTGAGTGGAATTTCTCCCTTCCTCTTTCTTTTTTGGGCAGGTGACAGAACCTATAAGGATAATATTTAGGTGCCAGGTCCTTCACACATTGTCACATCCATAACTACCCTGGGTAGTCAGCAAGGCAGAGATTATTTTTAGTGTTTTACCGATAAAAATAGCCCCAGCTAATGTTTACTGAGCCTCACTGTCTGCCAGGCACTTCGCTAAGCACTTCGCATTCTTCACCTCATTTAATCCTCACAGCACTGTTTACGGGCGTAGGGGCAGGTACTATTAATAGCCCCATTCTGCAAATGACAGCTGAGGCTCAGAGGGGCTGGCCACCCACGTTATTCTGATGGTCGGTGGCAAGCTTGGATCTGAGCCTCAAAGTCTATGCTTTTGACTACCACTCTATACCACATCTTTTTCATTATCCAAGCACAGTAACGATATTAAGAAGCGACATATTAGCCCTGGCTGGTTTTGCTCAGTGGATAGCGCATCAGCCTGCGGACTGAAAGGTCTCAGGTTCAATTCCAATCAAGGGCACATACCCGGGTTTCAGGCTTAATCCCAAGTAGGGGGCCTGCAGGAGGCAGCCAATCAATGATTCTCTCTCATCATTGATGATTCCCCCCTCCCTCCTCCTCCTCCTCCTCCTCCTCTTCTTCTTCTTCTTCTTCTCTCACTCTCTCTCTCTCTCTATCTCTCTCTCCCCCCCCTCCTCTCTGAAACCAATTCAAATCTATTTTTTTAAAAAAGAAGTGACATATTAAATACCTATTCTGTTCCAGGCACTCTGCTAACCTCATTACCAGCACTGTCCCCATTTTCCAGATGGGCACACTGAGACCCAGAAAGGTTAGATAGCGTGCTAGAGGTCACAGCTAGTCAGTGGGGGCAGGACTGGAGCCCAGGCCTGCCTACCTTCAAAGCTCCCTTTCCCCGGTGCCCACCCACTGCCACCTCTTTCCTGGGCTCCCAAGCTCCCCTCTCCCACAGAAGCGGCGGCTGGAAGACCTGGTGGGGCAGCCGCTGTGCAGCCTGGCCAAAGCCCTGGCCGGTCCTCAGAACCTGATCAAGAAACGTCTGGACAAACTACTGGACTTTGAGCGGCTAGAAGAGAAGCTGCTGGAGGAGGGCAGTGTGACCTACGAGGAGGAGGAGGCCCGGCACACGTACCAGGCACTCAATTCCCTGCTGGTGGCTGAGCTCCCGCAGTTTAACCAGCTGGCCGTGCAGTGGCTGGGCCAGATCCTGGGCACATTCATGGCTCTCCAGAGGGACCTTGCGAAGCAAGTGTTGCAGAGGGCAGAGAGCAGCCTGGCCCAGGTAAGGCCTCCAGGACGGGGGGCACCTCTGGAGAATAGCCAGGCAAGGCCATGCAGCCCCTTCAGCCGTCTTTTGCAGGAGCAGAGAGGGAGTTTGGGCCTTCCAAACAGGCCATCAGGTGCTGAGGAGGAGGCTGTGGGGACCTTCTTGATCTCTCTCATGCCTGTTTTCCTTCCATTAGTAGAGTCAGATCATAAAAGCAAGGATGGAGCGGGAACTCCAGGCCATTTCCAGGCTCTGGAGCTCAGAAGCAGAGGCTCTGCTGGGAGACTAGCACTTTATAGAGCCTGCCTCCTGGGGTGATGGATACAGCTGTTTCTCCTCTTTGAGGGGGGCTGGGACTATAGGCTTTTCTTCGTTGGGGCCCTCACAGCATTTAGTACAGAGTTCTCTCTCAGATACTCCTTTTGAATTGAATTAGGCCTGAACCAACTGCAGGAAGAAGCATTTATCTTTCCTAAAGGCAGAGGGGAAATCTGATTAGAGGATATTTTCATTCTCCTCCCGCCCTCTAGGGTTCTCTCCAGACCCCGTTGTATTAGGCTAGGATGTGCGGGGCTGGGGAGTGTTACAGATGCCGGTAGGGGAGGTCAACTCTATGAAAGCAGAAAGAGGGCACGTCTTGGTGGGTCCTATAACATAGGATGTTAGGGCCTGTCAGTGATTGATGGACTCATCCATGGAGCTTGGGAAAGACCTGCATGGTAGAACCTCAGTCTGTCTGCATCCTGGGGACGGGGGAAAGGAGGCACTAAATCAGAATCAAGAGCAGCGAGTTTGTTAACAGAGAGGACGTGTCTTTGTTAGCTGCGGGGTCTCACTCACTCCTCGATTATCTGATCAGAGTGCAGGAGATGCCTAACAGGGCCAAAGTCTCTGGACAGAGCATCATTCAGAACCCCTTGGGTTCAAGACCAGGCCAGGTATAAAGAAGAATGTATTGTCTTGCATAACTGGGAGACCATGAGGGTACGGAGCCGGAGACTCAGCTGCATTCAGTACGAATTCAGTACCCAGCAGGGCTCGACTTCACTCCACCCCTCGCTCTGTCCCCTCTGGATTGGCTCTGTTCTCAGGCAGGCCTCTCTCTGTGCGGTGGGAGAGGTGGCTCCTAACAGCTCCAAGCTCTTACCTTCCCATCTCAGAATCCAAAGGAAGAATGACCTTCTCATTCCCAGCCTTCACGGCCTAAATCTGATGGGAGGACTCCGATTGGCCCCACTTGGATCCATTGTCCGATCCTTGGACCAATCATGGGGCCTAGGAGAGGGGGCACCGTGACTGCCACTTCTGTGGCTAGAGCACCACGATGGGCAGTTCTGCTGGACCCCCAGTGAAGGACACTTCCTCAAAGGAAAGTGGGGCGCTAGGCAGACAAAAACGACAGCTGACCAGGACACAGAGGCCCATCGTAACGCACCTGGGTTTACTGTGGGCTGACAGTATCTGTCCCTACCCAGCTGCCCCACCACCACCTCTCGGAGCCGGCCTTCAGGAAGCTGGTGGAGGACGCACTGGGCCAGACCGGTCACCAGCTTCGCTCCTTTCAAGAGAACTTCGAGAAAGTGCAGACACCGCCCACTGTTCAAGTAAGTGACCTCCTTGATCCTCTGTAAGGGGGTGAGGCTCAAGCCCCTACTTCCTCCCCCTTTTGTAGTTTCAATGTTTCCTGTTATCCAGGGACACATTGTCCCTTTCCCTCTCTCCTTTCTCTCTGAGAGCTGGGGTGGGTGTGGGTGGGATTCACATTCCCATCCACACATGCTCTTCAAGGCCAATAAGCATCAGAGAACAGAACTCATGGGTCAAGAGTAAGAAAGCCCAAACATTTTACGATTAAGTGAAATTAGGAATAATAATGAGCAAGTGGCATTTAACACCTCAAAACCTGGAACTTCTTCAAAATTTTCATCAAAATTTACCATGTCCTTATCACCTTCTCACTGAACCTGCTTCAAATACGAGCATTCAGAATGAGTAACAAGTTTAAATAAGAAGTCATTTAAGTCCTGGCCAGTGTAGCTCAGTTGGTTGGAGCATCGTCCTGGATACTGAAAGGTCAGGGGTTCGATTCCCGGTCAGAGCATATGCCCAGGTTGCAGGTTTGACCCTTTGTCAGGGTGCATGTGGGAGGCAACCGATCCAGGTTTGCCTCTCTTTTTCTCCCTCTCTCTTCCTCTCTTTCTAAAATTAATAAAAATATCCTCAGGCAAGGATTAAAAAAAAGAAAATTTACAAAAAATTAAGACATTTAAATTTTCTTTTCACTATGGAATTTCTTAAAAATTAAAGTATAGTTGCTCTCGCCAGTTTCGCTGAGTGGGTAGAGCATCGGCCACAAACTGAAGGGTCTCGGGCCTGATCCGGTCAAGGGCACATACCTCGGTTGCAGGCTCGATCCCCAGCCTCAGTTGGGGTGTGCACAGGAGGCAACCAATCGATGTGTCTCTCTCACATCAATGTTTCTCTCTCTGTCTCTCCCCCTCCCTTCCACTCTCTCTAAAAATCAATGGAAAAATAACCTCTAGTGAGGATTAAAAAAAAATTAAAGTATAGTTGACATACAATATTATATTAGTGTCTGGTGTATTCAAAATCTATATACCTTAAGATATAATCACCATGGTAAGACCATCTGTCAGGGTACAAAGTTATTATGATATTATTGAGTATATTCTCTGTGTTGTACATTACATCCCGTGATTTATTTTAAATGCAGTTTGTATGCTCCATAATGGTTCACAAAACTTTGGATGGCCAAGTGCTGTTTTGGTAAAGTATGTTTCTCTAAAATATGAGGGAAGGGTATCTTTCAGTCAGTCCACTTGACTATACCCACACAGTGTATGTTTTAAAAGTAACGGAAGTAGCTGAAGGGATACGGGGCTCCCAGGGTTTCAGAAAATGGAAACTGTGTGTTCAATCACATGTGAGATGTGAAGCGAAGGGTCAGGAGACACCCAAGGTTCCCCAGGAGGAAGAGGGGGCCCGGAGACACAGAGAGACGAGGAAAGGGGCCCAGTAGCGCTGGCCGATGCCGGCAGCCTTCGCACCTGTCCACAGGGCAGAGACCGTCAAAGACCATCGGAGATGCGTGTCCGCTCCGAAGGGTTGGGGCTGATACTCCTCGGTCCACAGCTGTCCACTCCCCCCCCACACTGAGGCTGCCCCAGCAGAGGTCTCTTGGGGGGTGACATGGGCCCTGCAACTCGGGGAGAGGAAGTGAGCAGAAAAGAAAGAATAGAGCAGCCCTCAATGGAGTCACAGGAACCTCCCCCCTCTTTCTACTTAAAACAAAATGACAGGTGTGTGTGTGTGTGTGTGTGTGTGTGTGTGTGTGTGTGTGTGTGTTTGTTTACTGGAAAAGCAATCCATGCTGATTGCCCCAAAAAAGAGAAGACTTGGAAAAACAAAAGGAAGAAACAAATGGGAACATAATAATACCAGTGCGTGTTGACAATTGGCGCGCGCGCGCACACACACACACACACACACACACACACCCACACACACACACCCTCCTGTAAATTCCTGCCTTATTTGGCTAAGGGAACAGAACCCACAGAAGTGAGGCGGCCCATCCGGGGACAGCTGCTGTCCTCTACACAGGTAGGCGCTGCCAGACTTGAGAAAGAAGGCACGTATTTGCTACCCCACTGGCTTTCACACTCAGGTTAGCACCACCGGTCTGAAATAAGCGGCCCCATCGCCACACGTCCGTTTTAGGGCCTGTTTGAAACATTGGGTTCTCCTGGTTCTTGATCCTGACTCAGTGAACCCATTGGAGTATGGGCTGTGGCAGAGTCTGTGCCCAAATGTCCCCGAGGGCATCTCTGTCGATCTCCCTATACCCAGCACCTCCCTACCCAGAAATAACTAACCACAGAAACATGGTGAGTGTAAATACATCCATATGTATATAGTAAGAGAAAGAGAATACACTGTAAACCTTTATGCAACATTTTCCCTTTCTTCTTTGTTTTATAAAAAGGGGACAGTCACCCCAATCCCCTCTTGTTGATACTTTTGCTGGAAGCAGTGAATGAAAAACAAAGGTCCTGCCAGGAGATTGTGGGATGAGCTGAGTCGTTTCCCAGCGAGGTGGCAGCCCACTCGCTCCTGTGTTTCTGCTGCACCATTCACAAGGCTCACCGTGCCCAGTAAACACGTGTAGGGCCCAGTAAATACTGGTGGACTGAAAACTCACGGGGTAAAAGGCAGCATTCCCTTCCGCCCCACGTGTGGGAGGTCTCCCTGTGTCTGCCCTGTGCTGGCTGAGGTGCCCGATGAGTAAGGTCTGGTGCCGCATGGAGCTCACAATCGAATGGGTTGAAAGATCCATACCAGGCACCTCCCTGAGGGTCAACTTAGCCTGGTGCTAGGGGCAGGATTTAGAGCACCTAAACTGGATCTCTGTGACTGAGCAATTTCAGAACCTGAAAGTAGAACTTGGAAAACTCCAGAAGGTTAGACCTGGGAGGGATTTTATTTTATTTTTTTGTTACTCCTCACCTGAGGATATTTTTCCATTGATTTTTAGGGAGAGTGGAAGAGAGAGGGAAGGACAGAAACATCGATGTGAGAGAAACCCATGGATTGGTTGCCTCCTGCATGCGTCCTGACCAGAGTCTGAGCCGAGGAGGAGCCTGCAAACAAGGCATGTGCCCTTGACCAGAATCGAACCCGGGACTCTTTGGTCCACAGGCCGATGCTCTAACCATTGAGCAAACAGGCTAGGGATTTTAGAGATTAAATGAGGTGAGATCTCTTGGATACCAATTGCATGTGTTTCTCATCTGACCCAGCTGCCTAGTAGGCAGGGGACTGTGGGGCAGATGTTGGCCCCAGCTTTGACACGCTAACTCAAGCACTGCCTCTATCCCTCCTCTCCCCAGCCGCTCCTGCCAGGGGCTGAGCGTCAGGTGCAGGCTCTCCTGACCAAGTATGGCCCGGGAAAGCTGTACCAGGTGACAAGCAACACCAGCGGGTCTAGGACTCTGGACCTGTCATTGCCTCGGGGCCAAATCGTGGGCCTCCTTCAAAACAAGGACACCAAAGGCAACAGCAGCCGCTGGCTGGTGGACACTGGGGGTATGTGGGACTTGGTGGGCCCTTCCCCTCCCTCTGGGAAAACCACCCAACAGGACCAGTGGGAGACAAAGGTGCCCTCAGAGGTCAGAGTCTGGCCATGCAAATCCAAGGTGGGAATTGAGCCCAGGTGAAATGCAGGGCCTGGAGCATAGCCAGATCAGGGTGGTGCATGAAAGGCCAAAAAGGAGTTCAGTCTTTCGTTGCCACATCTGCTATCAGGCACCCTGTGTGCTGGGCGCTGTGTAAGGGAGACAAGGACCCTGCCTTGGGGACCTCACAGACCAGGGGGCTGGGCAGAACTTCAGCATCACCCTGAGAGACAGAGCAGGGGGTGTTTGGATCCGGCTACGTGGACAGACGTCTGATGTCCAGAATGAGGGCGAGTTTCCTGAGCACTGGTCACACCTGGGGGTGTGGCGCTCAGGTCTGGGCGCCCCAGTGTAGCCGGGCAGGAGGGAAGGAGCACCGTGAACCCAGGAAGAGATGGACCAGGAGGGAAGGGGCACCATGAATCCAGGAAGAGATGGATCTTCCAGAGAATATGTGACCCAGAGGCTGGGGTCACACAGGAGGATGGGAGGGGTCTGTGGACAGTTCCCCCCACCAGACAGTTCATTACCATTGCTACTTAAGGATATTAATTTTATTGGGAAAAATAACTAGGATATAAACCCATGACTTTATTTATTATTGTATAGTACAAGACCAGATTTTAAAAAGTGAGTCTATGAAAACATTAAGAAAACAGGATAAATCCAGCAGAAATGCTGGAAGAGCAGTCTCATGACTCAGCTGAAAAGAACTGAGTGGGGATTAAAGCCAGGCTCCCGGGTGGCGAGGACTGAGCGTGGACCCCAATCCCACCACTGAACTAGCTGCGTAAAGCGGGAGAAGGGTCGCAGCTCTCCCAGCCGGGCGCGCTCAGCAGTAAAACGGGTAGTTGGTGTGACGACTAGATGATCAGTGCGGGACCTGGCACTAGGGTGGCCGTTCCTAACAACAGCAGCCAGAGCAGCACTGGAGTAGTTGCCACATGAGAAGGAACCAGGACACTTGGAGAAGAGAAAGGCCATGTCTGCCTCGTGGGAAAGGCTGTCCTGGGCGAGGAAGCAGCTGCCTCAGGGGAAAGGGACCTGAGGTGCAGTTTTCATCCCAGACTGAGGAGAACTTGTTCTCTCTGTCAGAGTGTTCAGAACCAAGTGGGTCGCCTCAGGAGGGAATGAGCTCCCTGTCACTGGGGGTGTGCAAGCAGAAGGTAGAGGCAGCGTGTGCAGGGGATCGGGGGTTGGGGGCTGAGAGGTTCCTAGATGTCCCTTTAGTGCTGAGAAGCTGTGTTGGAGGCATTGACATCCATGCACGGCAGTGATTTCCTCTCCCACTCGAGGTGGTGGAGAAGGTGGCCTGTAGCCAGTTCACGTTTGGTATGTCCGCAGGACATCGAGGGTACGTGCCAGCGGGGAAACTGGAGCCCTACCAGATCGTCCCCCGGGAGGAGAAGCTCAGGGGTCAGGCGGGGCCTCGTGAGGACTCCCCGCATCCGACACCGGAGCCCACCCCAGCCCTAGTTGCCTCTGTCCCAGCCGGGACCCAGGTGAGTTTGGGAGTGGAGGGGGGCTTGTCTGGAGGGGGGCTCTGATTTTTCTCCTCTCTGGAGGGTCCACTACCAATGAGTCTGGGGCCTTGATTGGTGGCCACACCAGTGTCCTGGCCAGGGGTGGGACCCAGAGAAAGGACGTGCCAGTGCGTGCTCCCACATGTAGTTAGACGCAGAAAGCCATGTAGTGTGTGATGGTATGCACATCAAATGTTCAGAGACAGAAAGACCAGTGGTTGGCAGGGGCTGAGGGAGGGAGGGATGGGAAGTGACCACGGACTCGTGTGGGGTTTCTTTTTGGGGCGATGAGGATGTTCTGGAATTCGACAGTAGTGATGGTTGCACAGCCAGGTGAACACATTAAAAACTACCCGTGTGATTTTGAATAAGTCCCTTAACTTCTCTGAGTCTCAGTTTCCCTATCTGAAAAACGGGGCAAATAGAGTCATAGAATTGTGACAGTCAAGACCAGGCAAAGCACTAGGACAGAGCCTGCCTCATTGTGGGTGTCAGCGGTGGGAGCCCCAGAAACAGAAAGACCTCGGATGTGCTTGGGAGGCGATGCCTGCCCAGCAGTGGGGGCTGATGGGCTGGGAGGGATCAACAGCCTTCCTGGGGGGGGTCTGTCTGTCTTCCCACCCTGACCATGGCTGTGTCACTCCCATGTTTCAGGTGGTCGCCATGTACCCCTTTGTGGCCAGAAACAGCCACGAAGTGAGTCTGCAGGCAGGCCAGCCGGTGACTGTCCTGCAGGCCCCGGACAAGAAGGGGAACCCGGAATGGAGCCTCGTGGAGGTGGCCGGACGGAGGGGATATGTGCCTTCCAGCTTCCTGGCCAGGGCCCCAAGCCCGGCTCCCTGGGGCTGGAGTCTGCCCCCCTAGGCTGCCCTCCTTGGAGTCCAAGTTGCCAAGGGATGAGGAGGATTAGAGGCTGTGACCCCAGGAGGGAAGAGAAGAAAGAGAAGGCAGGGTGGAGGGGAGAGCAGGCCAGCGTGGGGTGAAGGGCACCCAGGAGGCAGCCAGAAGAGCTGGGCGCTGCCCTTGCACAATGCCTGGCGTGGGCGGGCACGGAAGGCTCCAGCCAGGACGGCTTATTTGTCTTCAGGAGGAGGTTGTTCCAGCCTGGAGTCACAGCATGGAGGATGGCAGGTCAAGTTGATAAGGATTTGCCGTCGCCAATGGCCAATCCTACCGGGGCCCCCATCTAGGCCTGCCCATGGAGAGGGCTGCCCAGGCGAATGTCACCCGTGTGCTGTTTGGGTGTAGGGAGGGGCGCCGGAGAAGTCCAGGGCTGCTGGCCTGACAGTTCACTTCCTGCATGTGGTCCAGGAGGTACCGCAGCCGACTGGTCGGTCGTCTCTATTTCTCCCTGCTGGGAGTGAGCTGTCCTGGGCAGTGAGCCCCTGAGAGCCCTCTCTAGTTGGGAAGCAGGTTCTTGTTGGGGCAGCGGGAGGTTCCCAGGACAGTCTTGCCCAGGCCTGGGCGTGGGTGTGGCCAAGTCACAGTTCTGGAATGTGTGTAGGTACATTCAGAGCCCGTGCCAGGGGAGAGATTTGGAGGGTGTGTGAGGTGGGGTGTGCGAGGCTGTTGCCAAGCAGTTGCACACCGTTGCTGTGTTCTCTGAATAGGGCACAAAGGGACATGCAAATCACAGAGGAAACTGAAGCAGGTGACTACAGGCCCGGTGGGCGGGGAGGTTAGGTCATGGCTTGGTTTCCTGTTTCTGGAAGTAGGGGACCCCGGTGGTTTCAGGAGGCCACTGAGGGCCTGGGGCAACAGTGGATGGATGCCAGGTGACTGTGGGAACTTCCACTTAGGACACAACCTCAGGTTTCCCATCCACAAAGCCCTAACTCACAGGATTGCGGTGAGAATAGCATGAGGCGAAGGGCATGGAAGCAAATTGTGAAGCGCATATAAATGTAAGTTACCGTCGGTAGCAGGATGTGCCGGAAGTGGTCTCAGGTTGGCCCCCACATCAGCATTCATTCTGCTACTTCCCGTGCCCACGGCAGGCATTATTCGTCCACTCGGCGTCCTTTCCCATAAACCCAGGGTCCTCCGCAGGCTCCTTCTCAATGCTGCAGTCCAGGAGCCAAGCTCGTGAACTTGGTGAGATCAAACCTATTGTCATGGCTTCCTAGAACCTGGAAATGGAAGCCCCTCACTAAAAACTGACCCATTGGGGCAATTCTGGGTGCAGCTGCTGTTGAATCACCTCTAGGATGTCACTGTGGGCGGAGATAAATTGCGAGGCTCACAGAAGAACACAAGGGTGACCCAGCACGATCTTGAATACAAACGACAAAATTTGGGGCCAACCCAAGTTAGTGTGTAAAAACAGGTGGCAGTTGAGACTTCTTTCCAAGAACATCTCTATGTGGTTATAACTGCAGTGCCTGGATTTTAGAGGGCTTTTAAGATGTATATACACGTCTGTGCCAGACAGTCTGCACCTCACCTCCTCTGGGCTTGTGAAAGCGTGAAGAATGCATAATGCAAGAGAAGCTGGTCCCCACAATTCCTTTCCCAGCTCCAGTTCACTTTATAAGATGCTCTTGACTCATTTTCCGTTCTCTCTCCTGCTCAGCTTTCTGATAGAAACAGGAAGCAGAGGGGAGCAGATAAAATAAGAAATCCATGTGTGGTCCCACCGTACTTACCGAGAGCCTGCCCTGGGCTGGAACCCTCGCTCAGGGTTTCTCAGCGCAGCTGCTCACCGCAGTCACCTGGGCAGCTTCCCACTGTGCCTCAAGCCAGGACCCCACCCGGAGATTCTGATGGAACTGGCCAGGGGGTGGTCTGAGCCTCAGGACCTCAGGACGCTCCCCAGGTGCTTAGTGTACGGCCATTTTGGGAACCTCTGCCCTAGGCACGCAGTGGTGGACGAGAGAGTCCTGGGGTCGGAAATGGCCACAAGCTGTAAGCCAGGACGTGCCCCTCTGAGCCTTGTGCCAACGCAGAGGTTCTGAACAGGCAGCTGCAGACAGGACAGCCTGTTCTGTCAGGTCCCAGAATGTATATTTATTAAGTGCCGTTAAAAGGGACCTGAACAAAATTGGATGTTCTTGTAGGTACAAGGGAGGAAACGGAAATACACTTGGAACTAAATGGATCTCATGAAGGGAAAATAAAAATGTATCAGTAGCACATGGATATGGTTTCTCGTGGGCCAGGGGATGAGATTGAAAGTCACTGAAGGGTGAGAAAATGCATATTGAGAAGATGGAGAATGGTCTGATTTTCCCCAGGAGACTCTGCATTATGTGCTCCTTCTCCGCCCCCCCCCCCCAATGCCTAGGACCACTGCACTGTGTCTTGTTTATTTCACTGTTGAGCTTGCTAAGGTATTTGCCTGTGAACCGAACAAATCTTCTAAGAGTGGAAGATGGACCACAGGGGTGTCCCTTGCTCCCTGCAGCGGAGTGACCCCTCTTTAACCTTTTGGGCCCCAGCCCAGTTTTGGACATGAGGACAAGATGACAATATCAAAGGAAGGATGAGTGGATTCTTGGTTCATGTGATGAGCTCTAGCTTGGTGAATAACTGATGTGAACCAATGGGAATAAAGGACTTCAAAGATAAAAATGCCTCTTGAATTTGTGTGACTCTAACCATTGGACAGTCAGATTCCCCTGGGTGACATTTGTTCTCTGGGCACTTGGTACACCTAAAAATGGCTCCTCATTCATTCGTGTGTTCACTAAGGAGTGTCTACCGCACACCTTGGGCGCCTCCTGGAGTCGGCCTTAGCTGCTGGGGATACAGCAAGAAGTCAGACAGATGGGGGCCTTGTCCTCCCAAAGCCCACAGTCTGGTGAGAAAGGCAAGTCAACAGTCAGTTACATGCAGTGTGAGTGTTAGGGCAATAATAGACACCACCAGAGCCCGGGGGGGCGGGGGGGAGGGAGAAGAGGGGGGTCGGTGTCCAGCCCTGACTCAGACCGGCAGCTAAGGAAGGCTTCCTGAGAGAAGTGATAGCCAAGCTGAGGCCTGATGGGTAACGAGGGTTGAGTGAAGGTGGGAGGGAGGGCATGTGCCAAGGCCCAGAGGTAAGAGCTAGCACTGTTGGTCAGGAAACTGAAATGCTGTGGCGCGAGAACATGGTGTGTGTAGGGGTGGTGGGTGCAGTGAGAGATGGTATAGAGAGGTCAGCATGGTGAGGAGCTTTGGTTTTCTGAGGGCTATGCAGGGGGGTGGGGGCACTAAAAGGTTTAAAGTAGAGCAGTGACAGGCCCAGGGCTGTATGTTAGGATGCAAGCTCTGGTTCATCCTGGAAGCTCCCTAAGGGTGCACGAGCCTCAGGTAAGAGAGGTTCTATACCCGTTGCTCAGATAAACATGCCAGAGGGGAGGGGAACACAGAAGCCCTGCCTCTGAGGAACCTCCCAGGCAGCTGGAGAGCCAAGACATACGAGCATCACACAGTTACCTGGCCCCACAGGGCAGGAGACAAGAGGGAGGTTTGAGGGGGCTGAGGTGGTCACGGAGGCGTCTTGGAAGAGTTGGGGCAGGTGCTGGGCCATGTGAGGTAAGTAGGACTGAGGAAGGTGAAGAGAAAAGAGAGGACTTCTCGGGCCTGGGAGGTCGTGTGGCGGTGTGAGAGTGTCCAGAACTTTGCCTTAGAAAACCTGAGTTCAAGGCCTACCTGCCCACAGGCAGTAGCAAACACACTTATCTGCATGTGAAGATGGATGAGGTCCCCAGTCTCCCCTGGCCTCCCCGGTCGGTTCCAACCTGCTCGTTGTGGAGTTCTGGTTTATCTCTACGAGTCCTGGCTCCCTTCGCCAGGACCCAACTTCCAGTGTAGAAGAGTCCGTGTAGGGCCTGTTGTGGCAGGGAAGAGACTAAATACCATGGACCAGGGTGCAGGCAGAGCCGGTTTCCACTCCTGGCAACATCACAAGGAGCTAGGATCCCGAACAACCCATTCACTTAACCTTGCTCATGTGTTTCCTCTTACGTATGTATGTATGTATATATGTGTTACTTTTTTCAATTACATTTGATATTATTTTGTGTACAGCTTAGTAGTTAGACGATCGTATACTTTACAGGGTGTTCCCCCAGAGCTCATCTGTTTTCTTATTGGTAATTTCTGAACTTACCCTTTCTGATTTATCATCTGTAAAATGGGTACAATTCCTGTTCTCACAGGGTGGATGAGAGGAGTAAATGAAAGAAATGGTATCACATGAGGAGCATCACGGCTGTGCCATGAGGAAATGTGAACTGTGACCACCAGGTGGCAGCAGGGCTCTACAATTCAGCTGTGGGAGGACCCGCGGCTCCATGGAGTCAAACTGGGCAGGTGGTGCAAATCAGAGGCAGGACCAGGTGAAAGACGTTAGGGAGCGGTGGAGACTGTGCTGCTCCCAAGGATACAGGCTCAGAAAGAGGGAGCGGCTTCCTGGCTCCAGCCTCTGTTGCCACATCAGGATGAGGGCCCAGTGGTGCCAGATAGTCTGGCTTTTCGAGAGAAGCCACAAACCAGAGAGAGAGAGAGGGAGAGATGTTAATTTGTTGTTTCACCCATTCATGCATCCATCAGTTGAATGTGTCCTGACCGGAGATTGAACCTGAAACCCCAGCACATCGGGACAACGCTCTAACCAGCTGAGCACAGGGTCTACAGCCATACCACCCTGAACTTGCCCGATCTCATCTGATCTCGGAAGCTAAGCAGGGTCGGGCCTGGTTAGAACTTGGAAGGGTTTTGTTTTACTCTCTTGATGTGAGGGAAGTCTTCTGCGTGGAGATTGTGCGGGCCACAACTGGCCGCCCCTTTGTAGCTTCTGCCGGAGTGCGGATCTCTTCTGAAGAACTGGCTTCATATCTTTATATTTCCTGTAAAATGCCTCCCCGTCTTTCCACTTGACTCATCAGACATCTCCTTCTCTACGTTAGATCTCTGGGGAGAACTGTTTCCTTTTATGCCACCATTACTTGTCTCAAGCTTTCACTCGGTTGTGCACCATATTTTCTGACTCACCTGTGAGGGTCTCCATCGCACTTATCTTACAAGGCCCTGTTGAGGATTAAACGAGATACTGATGTAAAAATCACTTAGCTCAGCAGCTGGCTCATTAGTGCTCAGCAAACACAGTTGTCGTTATGATGGGGACGGTAGAAGAGATGGCCTGACATCGGAGAAGGGTCTGCAGGGCCTTTCTCTAGGATGGTGACAAGGCCTGGCCATTCCCCTCTGTAGATGAAGCCCCTTGGTCTTGGCTCCTGAGGGCCTGGCTGGACTTGGCTGTCACACTCCGAAGACATTCCTGAGACGTTCCCTCCTTGGCTATCACTGATCCTGCCAGCTGGGTCAGGGTGGCCAGGTTTCCCATCCAGGACACTGCTCATGGGTGCCAATGGCCCAGACTCTCCCGCCTCCTTCCAGCCATAGGGCTTCCTGCTGCCCACTGCACCCGGACATGCTGGGCAGGTGCTCAGGAAATGATCAGGCCTTGCAGCCAGGAGCATGCTCTTGGGGTGTTCCCAAGGGACCCAGCAGCTTTGGGGCCCCCGGATCCTCACTAGGGAGTGAAGAGAAGGTGGCGGCCAGGCTTGTCATAGGTGCTGACTATGGCTGGGCTAGTGAGCATCAGCAGCTGCTGTTCAGTTAATCCTGAGGTCTCAGGCAGCCCCCATGGATCCAGGATATTCGGGTGGTTCTGGGTTCCCTGCCTCGGGCCCACCTGCCTGTCATCAGGGGTTCGGGCATCCTTGGACTCTGTGAGTGGAAAGAGCTCTAAGCAGTGGCTGCAGGTTTGGGAAGCCCCGAGCCCCCGGAAAGTTGGACTAGCGCGGACATCGAAGTTGCTGCCAGCCTCTGAGCATCTCACATCTCTAGAGATGGGTATTTGCTTGTTTGCTCTCACAGTCATTCCCTGCCCTGTTCGGCTCAGTAGTTTAGGCAACTACATTTCCCAGGCCCCTTTGCCCTCTGGTTTCCTGGTGGTTTGGCCAATGGGAAGCACTGGCAGGCGGGAGGAGGGGAGAACCTGAGGCATTTCTCCCTCCCTGCTTCAGGCAGCATCTCTGCCTGTGGCTGGTCTTCTCTGTGGCTCTAGCCCCTTCCTCCAGGCCTCAGGTCCTGTTGGACAGGTCTGGCTGTGTGTCCCATTTCTGTCCCGTGGCCGCAGATCCTGGAAACGACTAACACTGCCTCGTCCCCATGTCCTTCCAGCCTAAGAACTGGAGTGTCTTTTTGCTGTTAATCTCTAGGGCACATCTCAGATCTTCATTCACCTGTGCGACCTCCTTCCTGTATTGAATTCCTTCTGTTCAGAATGAATAGAGCGGTTCTCTTTCTGAATGGACAGTGACTGGAATGCTGCTCAGCAGCTGGGTGTACAGGTGGGACTGTGGGGCTCCCAGGTGCCTCAGGCTGCCCAGCCCTCACGGAGGAGCGGCACCATCTCCAGGTCGGCTGTACCTTCCCTGCATCAAGGGACCATCCTGCTTCCCCACCTAGAACTCGGGGAAGAGTCTTCAGCTGCACACAGCAGCCGAGTGAGTCACACTCCAGGTCCAGTGGCTGCGAGTCTGCTGAGCCGCTCCTGGTTTTGAACAGCTGAGGCTGCTCCTGCAGGGCCCAGCGCAGACACACACAGAGGAGGCCCAGGGCTGCTGTGGGAGAGCAGAGCCAGGCTGTGGCAGGGGGAGCCGGTCACCTCCTTCCAGCACGGCGTCTCAGCAGCATCTGTGTCTGGCCCTGGCTCGGGAAGGGGTGGGCCGTGAGCCCAGGCAAAGGAAACAGGAAGCGGGGCTTCTGGCCAGGGAAGAGGCTGCTGGTCTTGATTCTGGGGTCTCTGGGCTTCTGGGCACATCAGCCCAGCCTCTGGCCTGGGGAGAGGCCGGTGCGTGGACAGCACTCACTGCGGCTTCTCTTCACTGCTCACGGGGCTCATGGGCTGTTGTTACAGGAGGGAGTTACACAATGAACCCAGTGCCTGACACAGTTTCCTATGTGTCAAGAGCTGCAAGCTGAAAAACGAACACGAATCTGTCCATCAGCCCAGCCACCGCGAACCTCATTCCGGAGGCATTTCACGGGATAAGCTGGTGTCACAGTTGGGATTGAGGTCCTGGCCTCTCCCCTGGAGCAGAGCCAGGGCTGGGGACACAGATCCAGCTGCCAGTCCTACAAGAGGGTCAAGTCAGGTGAAGGAGTTGGGAGGTTGGGAGGCATGGTGATCCCAGGGCACACTCCCCAGGGGCGTCGGGGGCGGCAGCTAGTACCCAGCAGGCAGTTAGAGCCCCAAGGGGGCACTTGATGACAATTATCTCTTAGTGTCCAGGCAGGACAGAGATCAAGGTCAGAGAGTGGGCAGCAGGGTCCCATCTTTGAGTTGAGGGTCAAGTACCCGCCCTGGAGACTCCAGGGTCAGGCCCACTAAAGACATGGAGATCATGGCAGGAGACAAGATGGAGAGCTGGGCACCAGGTGAGGGGCTTCTAATGCAGGGGCTTCCTACCGAGCCCTGGAGGTGCTGCCTAGACCCTCCCACCTGAGGCCAGGATTGCAGCTATGGAGCCAGGTGGGCGGGACCTGGGAGAAGGGCTCAGCTAGAGGCTGGGGTGGTCAGA